GTCTTGGGGTGTCACCAGGGTGGTATTGGGGACCCCCACCCATGTCCTGGAGTCTTGGGGTGTCCCCAGAGTGTTGGGGACCCCCACCCATGTCATGGAGTCTTGGGGTGTCCCCAGGGTGTTGAGGATCCATGGTGTGGAGGTCTTGGGGGTTCTGGGGTGTCCCCAGGGTGGTGTTGGGGACCCCCACCCACATCCTGGAGTCTTGGGGTGTCACCAGGGTGGCGTCAAGGACCTTCACCCATGTCATGGGGTCTTGGGGTGTCCCCAGGGTGGTGTCAGGGACCCTGTGGGTACCAGGGTAGGTACTGGGGATTCTGGGGGTGCTGGGGACCCCCACCCATGTCCTGGGGGTCCTGGGGTGTCCTCAGAGTGGTGTTGGGGACCCCCACCCATGCCCTGGGGTCCTGGGGTGTCCCCAAGGTGTTGAGGATCCCCACTCATGTTCTGGGGTCTTGGGGTGTCCCCAGAGTGTTGGAGACTCCCACCCACACCCTGGAGTCTTGGGGTGTCCCCAAGGTGGTGTCAAGGACCCCCACCCATACCTTAGAGTCTTGGGGTGTCACCAGGGTGGTATTGGGGACCCCCACCCATGTCATGGAGTCTTGGGGTGTCCCCAAAGTGGTGCCAGGGGCCCTTTGGGTGTTGGGGACCCCTACTCATGCCCTGGAGGTTCTGGGGTGTCCCCAAGGTGTTGAGGACCCACACCCATGTCCTGGAGTCTTGGGTGTCCCCAGGGTGGTGTTGGGGACCCCCACCCACATCCTGGAGTCTTGGGGTGTCACCAGGGTGGCGTCAAGGACCTTCACCCATGTCATGGGGTCTTGGGGTGTCCCCAGGGTGGTGTCAGGGACCCTGTGGGTACCAGGGTAGGTACTGGGGATTCTGGGGGTGCTGGGGACCCCCACCCATGTCCTGGGGGTCCTGGGGTGTCCCCAGAGTGGTGCCAGGACCCCCACCCACACCCTGGGGTCCTGGGGTGTCCCCAAGGTGTTGAGGACCCCCACCCATGTCCTGGAGTCTTGGGGTGTCCCCAGAGTGTTGGGGACCCCCACCCATGTCATGGAGTCTTGGGGTGTCCCCAGAGTGTTGGGGACCCCCACCCATGTCATGGAGTCTTGGGGTGTCCCCAGGGTGTTGAGGATCCATGGTGTGGAGGTCTTGGGGGTTCTGGGGTGTCCCCAGGGTGGTGTTGGGGACCCCCACCCACATCCTGGAGTCTTGGGGTGTCACCAGGGTGGCGTCAAGGACCTTCACCCATGTCATGGGGTCTTGGGGTGTCCCCAGGGTGGTGTCAGGGACCCTGTGGGTACCAGGGTAGGTACTGGGGATTCTGGGGGTGCTGGGGACCCCCACCCATGTCCTGGGGGTCCTGGGGTGTCCTCAGAGTGGTGTTGGGGACCCCCACCCATGCCCTGGGGTCCTGGGGTGTCCCCAAGGTGTTGAGGATCCCCACTCATGTTCTGGGGTCTTGGGGTGTCCCCAGAGTGTTGGAGACTCCCACCCACACCCTGGAGTCTTGGGGTGTCCCCAAGGTGGTGTCAAGGACCCCCACCCATACCTTAGAGTCTTGGGGTGTCACCAGGGTGGTATTGGGGACCCCCACCCATGTCCTGGAGTCTTGGGGTGTCCCCAGAGTGTTGGGGACCCCCACCCATGTCATGGAGTCTTGGGGTGTCCCCAGGGTGTTGAGGATCCATGGTGTGGAGGTCTTGGGGGTTCTGGGGTGTCCCCAGGGTGGTGTTGGGGACCCCCACCCACATCCTGGAGTCTTGGGGTGTCACCAGGGTGGCGTCAAGGACCTTCACCCATGTCATGGGGTCTTGGGGTGTCCCCAGGGTGGTGTCAGGGACCCTGTGGGTACCAGGGTAGGTACTGGGGATTCTGGGGGTGCTGGGGACCCCCACCCATGTCCTGGGGGTCCTGGGGTGTCCTCAGAGTGGTGTTGGGGACCCCCACCCATGCCCTGGGGTCCTGGGGTGTCCCCAAGGTGTTGAGGATCCCCACTCATGTTCTGGGGTCTTGGGGTGTCCCCAGAGTGTTGGAGACTCCCACCCACACCCTGGAGTCTTGGGGTGTCCCCAAGGTGGTGTCAAGGACCCCCACCCATACCTTAGAGTCTTGGGGTGTCACCAGGGTGGTATTGGGGACCCCCACCCATGTCCTGGAGTCTTGGGGTGTCCCCAGAGTGTTGGGGACCCCCACCCATGTCATGGAGTCTTGGGGTGTCCCCAGGGTGTTGAGGATCCATGGTGTGGAGGTCTTGGGGGTTCTGGGGTGTCCCCAGGGTGGTGTTGGGGACCCCCACCCACATCCTGGAGTCTTGGGGTGTCACCAGGGTGGCGTCAAGGACCTTCACCCATGTCATGGGGTCTTGGGGTGTCCCCAGGGTGGTGTCAGGGACCCTGTGGGTACCAGGGTAGGTACTGGGGATTCTGGGGGTGCTGGGGACCCCCACCCATGCCCTGGGGGTCTTGGGGTGTCCCCAGAGTTTTGGGGCCCCCCACCCATGTCATGGAGTCTTGGGGTGTCCCCAAAGTGGTGCCAGGGGCCCTTTGGGTGTTGGGGACCCCTACTCATGCCCTGGAGGTTCTGGGGTGTCCCCAAGGTGTTGAGGACCCACACCCATGTCCTGGAGTCTTGGGTGTCCCCAGGGTGGTGTTGGGGCCCCCCACCCACACCCTAGAGTCTTGGGGTGTCACCAGGGTGGCGTCAAGGACCTTCACCCATGTCATGGGGTCTTGGGGTGTCCCCAGGGTGGTGTCAGGGACCCTGTGGGTACCAGGGTAGGTACTGGGGATTCTGGGGGTGCTGGGGACCCCCACCCATGTCCTGGGGGTCCTGGGGTGTCCTCAGAGTGGTGTTGGGGACCCCCACCCATGCCCTGGGGTCCTGGGGTGTCCCCAAGGTGTTGAGGATCCCCACTCATGTTCTGGGGTCTTGGGGTGTCCCCAGAGTGTTGGAGACTCCCACCCACACCCTGGAGTCTTGGGGTGTCCCCAAGGTGGTGTCAAGGACCCCCACCCATACCTTAGAGTCTTGGGGTGTCACCAGGGTGGTATTGGGGACCCCCACCCATGTCATGGAGTCTTGGGGTGTCCCCAGAGTGTTGGGGACCCCCACCCATGTCATGGAGTCTTGGGGTGTCCCCAGGGTGTTGAGGATCCATGGTGTGGAGGTCTTGGGGGTTCTGGGGTGTCCCCAGGGTGGTGTTGGGGACCCCCACCCACATCCTGGAGTCTTGGGGTGTCACCAGGGTGGCGTCAAGGACCTTCACCCATGTCATGGGGTCTTGGGGTGTCCCCAGAGTTTTGGGGCCCCCAACTCATGTCATGGAGTCTTGGGGTGTCCCCAAAGTGGTGCCAGGGGCCCTTTGGGTGTTGGGGACCCCTACTCATGCCCTGGAGGTTCTGGGGTGTCCCCAAGGTGTTGAGGACCCACACCCATGTCCTGGAGTCTTGGGTGTCCCCAGGGTGGTGTTGGGGCCCCCCACCCACACCCTAGAGTCTTGGGGTGTCACCAGGGTGGCGTCAAGGACCTTCACCCATGTCCTGGAGGTTCTGGGGTGTCCCCAAGGTGTTGAGGACCCCCACCCATACCCTTGGGGTCCTGGGGTGTCCCCAGAGTGGTGTTGGGGACCCTTTGGGTGCTGGGGTGTTGGGGGACCCTTACCCATGCCCTGGGGGTCCTGGGGTGTCCCCAGAGTTTTGGGGACCCCCACCCATGTCATGGAGTCTTGAGGTGTCCCCAGAATGTTGAGGACCCACACCCTGGAGGTCCTGGGGTTTTGAGGTGCCCCCAGGGTGGTGTTGGGGACCCTCACCCATGTCCTAGAGTCTTGGGGTGTCCCCAGAGTGGTGCCAGGGTGTTGGGGACCCCCACCCATGCCCTGGAGGTTCTGGGGTGTCCTCAGGCTGGTGTTGGGGACTCTCACCCATGCCCTGGGGGTCCTGGGGTGTCCCCAGAGTTTTGGGAACCCCTCCCCATGCTCTGGGGTGTTGGGATGTCCCCAGGGTGGTGTTGGGGACCCCCACCCACGCCCTGGGGGTCCTGGGGTGTCCCCAGAGTTTTGGGGCCCCCCACCCATGTCATGGAGTCTTGGGGTGTCCCCAAAGTGGTGCCAGGGACCCTTTGGGTGTTGGGGACCCCTACCCATGCCCTGGAGTCTTGGGGTGTCCCCAGAGTGGGACCAGGATGTTGGGGACCCCCACCCACACCCTGGAGTCTTGGGGCATCCCCAGAGTGGTGTTGGGGACCCCCACCCATGTCATGGTGGTCCTGGGGTGTCCCCAAGGTGTTGAGGACCCACACCCATGTCCTGGAGTCTTGGGTGTCCCCAGGGTGGTGTTGGGGACCCCCACCCACACCCTAGAGTCTTGGGGTGTCACCAGGGTGGTGTCAAGGACCTTCACCCATGTCCTGGGGGTCCTGGGGTGTCCCCAAGGTGTTGAGGACCCTCACCCATGTCCTGGAGTCTTGGGGTGTCCCCAGGGTGGTGTTGGGGACCCCCACCCATGTCCTGGAGTCTTGGGGTGTCCCCAAAGTGGTGCCAGGGACCCTTTGGGTGTTGGGGACCCCTACCCACACCCTGGAGTCTTGGGGTGTCCCCAGAGTGGGACCAGAGTGTTGGGGACCCCCACCCACACCCTGGAGTCTTGGGGTGTCCCCAAGGTGTTGAGGACCCCCACCCATGTCATGGTGTCCTGGGATGTCCCCAGAGTTTTGGGGACCCCTATCCATGTCCTGGAGTCTTGGGGTGTCCCCATGGTGTTGGTGGCCCCCCACCCACACCCTGGAGTCTTGGGGTGTCCCCAAGGTGTTGAGGACCCTCACCCATGTTCTAGGGTCTTGGGGTGTCTCCAGGGACCCTGTGAGTTCAGGGCTGCCTAAGAACCTGTGGGTGCTGGGATGTTGGGGACCCCCACCCCAAGAGGTGCCACCTGGATGCCCCATGTGTCCCCTGTCCCCCCAATTTTGTGTGTGTGTCCCCCCCCCCGCAGACAGCAAGGCCATCGTGGACGGGAACCTGAAGCTGATCCTGGGGCTGATCTGGACGCTGATCCTGCACTACTCCATCTCCATGCCCATGTGGGAGGATGAGGAGGAGGAGGACGAAGCTCGGCGGCAGACCCCCAAGCAACGCCTCCTGGGCTGGATCCAGAACAAGGTGCCCCAACTGCCCATCACCAACTTCCACCGCGACTGGCAGGACGGGAAGGCACTGGGAGCACTGGTGGACAACTGCGCCCCCGGTGAGGACATCTTCTGGGGGGG